ATATTTAAATTTTAATATAAGAACACTAAATTATTTTAATGAAACGGTCATATCTATGAGACCTTCATATTGACGGCTGTGGACCGCTTCCAGCTGAGTGCAAAAATCACTGATATCAGCCCAGTCTCATTGAAAACACACTTTGTTCAAACAAGTAGTGGACATGACTGAACTTTTTGTATTTTGGGCAGGTAAACAAGCTGCCATAAATAGGTAAAGAGGTCGAAAACATGGAAGCAAACTGTGACATTTATTGCCTGCAGTTATTACAGGATTTGTAGTTTAAACATGTACAAAGACCGGTAGCAAACTTATGGAGACAGATTGTGTCAACCTCTGATTACAGCACTTTAATCTGTTTATTTATGCAGCCAACGCTTCTCAGGAATGATTGAAAGTTAAAAGAATTAAGACTTGACAAAATTAAATTTAAGAACTTGGATGAAAATCTGGGTGTTTTTAAAACTTTTTTTAGACCTAAAATTTTGATTCTCAAATTTTTGACTTTTTTTAAGACGCTGCATGAACCCTGTAAATATGATTACTTAGTCTAAAAGATACAATTTCATTAGGAAGTGTAAAACTATTAAATTTCACCTTCATTCTGAGACAGTAGAGGAAAATGTTACTTCGAATGGTTTCATTCAGCCATTTGGATTTATAACCACCGGCTGGTCTTATTAAAAAGCCTTTTGACTGGTAACTTTGAAGTTTTAAACACAATATTTTATTTATTTACAGGTCTCTATTGCTCCATCTGCATACCCTGATTTTAATCATACTCTAGATTGACACGTTCCTCTGAGCAGTCTAAGACACATCTGTACAACACATAACCTGGATGCTGTAAAAGTTCACGCAGAGCTTTTAGAGCCAACAGTTTGATTTATTAAACTCACTAAGACTGAGGAGATTTTGGATGATAAGTTGAGTCATTTAACAGTTTTTTTTTTTTATCTCAACGTGTGATAAAACATGTTAAATTCCTTACATTGAAACACAAAGAGAGGGTTAAACGACTCACGTCACACTCGTTGCAGTAGTAGGCTGGCTCATCTTTGACCCGACTCTGATAGGAAATCTTTTTGCCTTGGGCCACCAGTTGGTCTCGCAGGATCTGGATGTGCTTCATGGACTGCAGCAGGCAGTGTCTGTAAGAAGATGAAAACAAACACGTAAAAATCTCTGTCTTTTAATTCATCGTAGTTTTATTTTATTTGTTATATTAAGTTAGAAGGTTTTTCAAACATTTACTTGATCATTTTGTAGGTGTCGGGGTCGGTGATCTTGAGCGTGCGGGCCACGTTCCAGGACACATGGATCATCGGAACAATAGACTTTACCTTCTTCACTTCATTCCACTCAAACCTCTCCAGAGCCAGCTGATACTGGTACCCTGCACACGCACATTTTGAAGAATCAGGCTAAAAGTCTGTCTTATATTTTATTTAGCCACTAGGTGGCGCACTCGTACCACTGAGAGGTCCAACGTTCCAGGCGATGTTGTTGCACCAGCCCACAGCCTGAACCCAGTGGACCGTACCCGCGTTGATCCACACCAGGTCTCCAGGCCGCTGGATGAAGCGGTACACTGGGATGTTGGCGCTGTAGAGATCCTCCAACACCGGCCACCAGGACCCGGTCAAGTAGTCCACGCCATGCCTGAGCACAAAAAGGTCAACTTTGATGTTTTAACTTTGTTTGATTGGAAATAACTTAAAGCAGTGGCGGATCTAGGATTTTTCTGAGTAAGGGGCCATCAAAGGGCCACTATGTTCACTGAGGGGACAAGTTTTTGTTCAACATCCTTTCACACAAAGTTTACATTTAACCAGTCATACATGTTCAAACACTTGTAATGTAATGTAATATTTTTAAAGAGGTACCACTTTACAATAAGCTTACAATATAGATGGCTTTTAAAGAGTTTATAGATAGGTCATTAATTCATCTGTAAAGACTTTATAAATTATTAATAAGTGTTTATTATGCATTAATTAAGGTAAAAACGGGACTAAACTGTCCAGTTTCTTTCAAAATACTGAGTCAAATCTGTTTGTGTGTTAAACATTTCAGACTAGTTTACTACCTTGTAAGCACAATGATTAGGAAATGCATATTTTAACATATAATGTTGTACTGTATTACTACATTATTAATATCCACAAATATTAAAGGGATACTTATTGTAAAGTGTAAAACTGTACAGTATTTTTGATGGGGTGGGATTAATTGGCGTGTTAACATGTTTTTTTTTACTTTTTTGATACATCAACATTGTTGACAATTACATGTTTGAACAATAATTTCAAATATTGACAATCAACACAAAGTTTAAAAAAATTTTCACATTAAAACTAACTTTTGAAATTTATAAATGTGTTTTTGTCATTAATAAATAGTGTACTGTATTACACTTTATGATAAGTCTCCCTCTGACAGTTGTGAATATTTATAATGCAGTAATACAGTACAATATTAATATGTTAAAATATGTGTTCCTTATTGTTATTGTGCTTGCAATATAGTAACCTAGTCTGAAATGTTTAATATACCACCTTTAGATGTAATATGTATGTGAACGGATTAGTCTCATTATTTTGTAAGAAACTAGACAGTTTTGTCTCTTTCTCGTCCTTAATTATTGCATAATAACCATTTATTAATGATTTATAAAGTGCTTATAGATGAATTAACAACCTATCTAATCTGTAAAGGGAGCCTTATTGTAAAGCGGTACCAAAAAATCCTTGCACAGTAAATTCTCCTCACCAGTTTTTCATATATTCTCAAATACACAACATGTGAAAAATTCCAGCCATCATTTATCAGTTGAAAGACTTTTTTTTTGCAGGATTGTTCAAATTTTCTTAAGAGAAGAATTCTGTAAGATTGATTTGACTCATTAGCACCTCTAGTGTTTGGACATGGAACTGCATCTGTCATCATCACCCCCAGGTAAAGGACAGTTGAGTGACAGGACAGGGGCACTTCAGGGGGCCAATCAGATTTCAGCTGGGGGCAATGCCCCTGTGGCCCCGCCCCTAGAACCGCCCCTGACTTAAAGTTTCCTCCACTCACTTTTCACAGAAGTTGCTGATGGCCTCCCAGTAGTCCTCGTGCACGCAGAACCACTCGCAGTCTCCAGGCCCAATGTTGATGTTTACTGAGCAAAAGTTATTATTTTCCTGATGACCTGTTTAAAAAGTAAAAACAGACTTTTGTAGAGGCAGAAAGGCTCGATGTTGAGAGAGCAGCTGGTGTGTTTCAGTGTTTTTACCTGGTGTTCGGCTGCCCGGAACCTTCATGTAGAGCTGAACGCTGTTCATGCCTAAGATTGTGTGTCCAACGTGGCTCAGCATGTTCCCACTGGACGACACGCGCATGAATGCTGGCAGCTTCTGCAGCTCCTGAAGCTGGGGCTTCCACCTGAGCAGAGACATGTGTGATGTCAGAGCTGTGCTGTAGCAGCTGCTGCTGCTGCCACGTTGTGTTACAGTGACGTGCTGAAGCTGCTCACCTCTTGGGATCAGAGAGATCTATGTTGGTGCCAAACTTGATGATCTTCCCAACTGTTTTCTGCTCACCGCTAAGAAACAAACAAAGCTTAAAAACACATCTTAAAACACTAAAACATCTACAGCGTTGAAAGTTACACTTACTTGTTATTGTCTTTAGAGCCGTCCTTGTTAAGATCAGCGCTAACAGGTGGCTTCTTTTCATCCTCATCGTCCTCTTCATCACTGCCTTTCTCCTCCTAAAGACAGACACGCTCATCAAGACGTGGACACACGGAGGTCCTGGCTCTTTGAAAACTCAAACCCAGTAAAGTTCCGTACCTGCAGACTCTCCTGGAAGCTGGAGGCCTGGTACTGGGCGTACTTGGCGATGGTGGTGTACGAGCGGCTGCTTTCGCAGGGCCAAGTCTGACCGGTACCGCTGGCGTTCCAGTTTTCATCGGCGGGCTGCTGCACCTGAGTCCTGACCTCCACCGCCTGCTCTGCATTCGCTTCCACGAGAGACTTTGTAGAAAACAGCCCCAAATCTGAAAACAAACAGGGACGTTAACAGACTTGTTTAAGAAATGTGCAAGAAGACATTCTAAAGAGTAAATTCCTTCTTAAATTAATGAATATTATGTTTGTGTTATGCATGTTTAACAGAAATATTAGCATCATAACATGTCTATATTTTTATTTCGGTCATTTAAAAATTTTCCATTTACAAAACAGCACAAAACACAGAACAATGAAAACAAAACAGAATAATACAGAAAATAATACACAATCTTTAAATTCCTTTCAATGTCAAAAAGACAAGGCATAGACTGAAAACAATGTAGCCTAAGCTTTTTATACCTTCACTTTTTATTCATACATTAACAAAATCATATCATCATCTTTCCTATAGATTTTATAAAAGAAAATCTCGAACAAAATTCTAACCAAATTTGTAACAAAACTCTAGCAGCAGCAAACAATCAATCAAAACTTTGTATATTTCTGTAACAAATAGTTTTTTACATTATTTTAAATTTAGTTAGTGAAAAACACAGTTTTAACTTTTCACAACAATTATTCCAAACACAAATTCCTCTAACAGAGGTACAATTATTTTTAATATTTGTCCYAACTCTWGTTTTTTTAAATAAATCTTTCTTTCTTAACTCAGTTAGTTTCTTTAATTTCAAACCACTTCTGTATACAATGTGGAAGAACTTTAGTATAAGCTTTGTACATTGTTAATGCTGCTCTAAGTTCTACTAAATCATAAAATTTTAAAGTATGCAATGTGATAAATATGTCAATAGTTGGATGACATTAACCTGATGCATTTATAATTTGTACAGCTTTCTTCTGAAGCATATAAATAGGTTTTGTGTTGGTTTTATAGGAATTTCCCCACACAGTTAATCATATGGAAGTATTAAACAAAAGTATAACAAATACGATTTTAAATTTAGAAATTGTTTTGTTTAATATTGCATTAGTTTTTGACATTTTAGCTTTTACATTTTCAATACGATCTTTCCAATGCAATTTGTAATCAAGTATCATTCCTAAAGATTTAATTTCATACACTATTTCTATTTCAGTATGATTTATCTTTAGTTTTACATCATTTTTTATTCCTTTATTACTAAATACAATATATTTTGTTTTATCGTGATTTAGGGATAATTTATTTTTGTCACACCAATTCTTTATTACCTTTTAATTCAATTTCCATTGTATTCAGAAACTGCTCCAAACATAATGTAGTATCATCAGCAAATAAGTTAGATGTTAATACCTTAGATACATTGCAAAGGTCATTTATATAAACTAAAAAACGTTTTGGACCCAGTACTGACCCTTGTGGTACTCCACAGGTTACATTCAGTAAATCAGAGCTAACATCATTTATTTGTACATATTGATATCTTTGGTCCAAATAACTTTTTATCCAAGAATGTGCTAATCCTCTGCATTTTGATGCAATTTACTTAACAGTAAGCCATGATCTATAGTAACAAATGCTTTTTTAGTCTATAAACACTCCAACAGTAAACTCCTTTTTACAAACTGCATTTGCTACATCATCTACTAATTACATTACTGCCGTTGAAGCTGATCTTTCAGCTCTAAACCCATACATAGTCAGATAATACTAAACGCTTTTCCATGAAATTATCAAGTTGTTGCAAAAACAGTTTTTTTTTTAAATTTTGAAAACTGAGCGAGAGAAGAGAGATGGCTCCTCGGGTTAATGTGAACTTACTGAGTCGAAGTGATCCAGCCAGTCCTCTGATCACCGTAACAGGATTCTTTGGGTCCGTGCAGAACTGCAGCAGGACCGGAGAGAAGGCGTCCCTCTTGCTCTCCAACTGAATGAAGAAAAACACTTTAATGCTCGAAATCACCACAAGAGGGCAGCACGTGTGTTCATTAACATTTCCAATGATAACTCCATAAAAACATGAATATATTCTGCTGAAGTGTGTGGCAGAAACCTACATAAATGCTGGGTGTAGGAGGGTTGAGCTTCTCTCTAGGAATGGGTTCATCCGAGGTTATGATGGGTTTAACGGAGAAGGCCGGCAGCAAGTATGATTCCTTAAACTTTCCTTTGACACGAGCCCCTCTGGAGCAAAGAGAAGAGGAGCGTGAAGGCTGCAGTTATAGACAACGTATTATTAAATACTCTACTGCGGCACACTTACTTGCATGAGCGGATAATTTCACTGGCGGTGTTCTTGATGCTGATTTCCTTCAGAGGGATTCTTTTCTCGTCCACCTCGGAGGCGATGAACGTCTCCCTGTCCCCGCTCTCCACTTTGATCAAGCGGATCTTCAACTCCTTGGGCGGCCCGTCCGACAGCGCCTTCAGTTTCAACAGGTCCGTAGAGCCCAACGGTGGGATGGAACCGGCGTCGCTTTTGAGGTCGGCGGACCTGTGGCCTGAACTCGAGGTCCACTCGGCGCGATCGCCATCGCCGGTGGAGCTGGTACCGGGCGCGTCTTTACGCTTCTTTTTCTCGGCCTCGTAAAGACTCCTGTTCTTCTCCGATTCTCGCCTCTGGTGGTTGAGGTCACCGAGGATCCTGCGATCCTTCTTCTCCCTGTGGCTCTTCCCGTCCTTGTGCCGCTTGTGGCTGGAGCTGGAATGACCGGACGATGAAGACGACGACGACGAAGACAGGTCATCTCTCTTCTCTCTATGCTTCTTCTTGTCCTTCTTGTCTTTGTGCTTCCTGCTGCTGCTGTGGCCGTGCTTCCTTTTCTTCTCTTTGTGCTCTTTTACTTTCTCAGGTTTGTGTCGGTCTTCAACTTTTGTGCGGCTCTCGAATTTATCGAGTGACTGCCGACAAAGCATGACTTCGCAGCTCTTGCCCAGCTCTTTCAGAGAAGACTGTGAGATGGTTGTCAGCTCACACTCTTCTTTGATGACCTTAACGGGCTTCACGGTTGGAACGCTCAAGCTTTTGACGGAGCTCGTTCTTTCATCCGTCTCCCCCTCATCTGTCCAAACATCACTGTCCTCCATTTTTAGCTTCTTGTCTTCCTGTAGTGAGCGAGGGGAGGATTTCTGAGGTGGGGCGGCGGGGCTGAACGGTGGACTCGTTGAATCCGACGTGGGAGAACCACCTTGCTGCTGGCAGCAGATATCAGGACCCAGTGACAGCGAGGAGGAGTATTTCACACCAACCAAAGCTGACGGAGGCGGTCTCCCGAAAGGCCCGCCGCGGTAAGCGTACTTCTGGCTCTCCAAAACCGTTGCCAGAGACTTGAACATGCTGTTGACCCCTGTTTGATGGAGGTGGGGTCTTTGGGGCGGAGGAGAACAAGACGCCGTTTCAGAGTCCTCTTCCGATTCCTCGTCCGCCTCGCTTTTAGTCCGCTCAGGGAGGCCGTAGAGTTTAGCCAGGTCACTGTGGCGGTAATTGGTGTTCCCCACTCCCATTCTCATCTCCACCGCTGATTTAGCTTTAGGGTAGTCCTCGTCCTCCTCCAGAGAAGACGTCCGGCTGCAAGGGGACGCCAGAGAGCCTTGGCGGCTGAGCACGGGAGGGCTCGAGTTGGAGCCCAAGTCTTCCTGATTGGGCTGCTGCTTGGTTGCTGGGATCAGGTCCGGGGCACACAGGTAGCTCTTCACAGGGTCGGCACTGGGGGTGCAGCTGTGCAGGAGCCCAGTGGAGCCGGACTTCTCACTGTTGTACAACTCCTCCTCCTTTTTGATGGACTCGTCCAACATGGCCATGATGTTAGCCAGCCCGTCGGGGAGCATCGTGGACAGCTCGGAGGACTCATCCTCAAACGGAGCGCCGTTAGGGTCACTACTAGTGGCGTCTGTAGCGCTCTCTGTCTGTTTGTTGTGGAGCCCCCCGATGGAGGTGAAGGATAAAGGTGGGGGTTGAAGGTTTTCTCTGGACATAGCCTGGTAGAGTCTGGGGGGCTCTCGAAGTGCCAGGGTAGGGAGAGGGTGTTGGGGGCTGTCTCTGTCCCTGCCTGAGTCTTTGGCTTGGTTAGGTGCTGCTTGCATTGCTGGGGGCTTGTTGGGGTGGGTGGGCTGGTTCATCCCTGAGGTATTGTGTGTTGATGAGGGAATGAATGTCGCTCCGCCACTGCTGCTCCACATCTCCCTCTGCCGCTGCTTCTCCCTGGCGTATTCGGTTTGAGGTGTGAGGGGAGGGGGGCGCAGCCTCTCCGTGGAGGGTCCAGGCGTCTGGTTGGATTGGCCTCCACGGCTGAGCCAGAGGTAAGGAGGAGAAGCCTGGGAGGTGGGCGCTGGTGGGCCTGAAGGAGGTGCGGAAACAGAAGAGAGGGGAGGAAGAGGAGGAACCATCTGAGGGCTGCTGCCAGAGAGAAGTCGCTCCAGATTTTCAATCGCCGTCTGCTCTTTGCCTTTTTGTTTCATTCTTTCCTCCATTTCCATTTGTTTCTTCTCTTCTTCCCGCTCCATTTCTCTCCTCCTCCTCTCCTGCCTCTCAGCTTCCCTCCTTTTCCTCTCCTCCTGTTGCCTCTCCCACTCCTTCCGCTTCCTTTCCTGCTCTTTTTCCCATTCGATCTTCTTCCTCTCCTCCTCCTGCCTCTCTCTCCTTTTCCTCTCCTCCAGTCTCTCCATTTCCCTCCTCCTCCTCTCCTCTTCCAGCTTCCTCTGTTTCTCCTGTTCCTGTTTCCGTCTCTGCTCCTCCTCCTGCTTCTCCGTCTCTCTCTTCCTCCTCTCCTCTTCCAGCTTCCTCCGTTTCTCCTGTTCTTGTTTCAGCCTCTGCTCCTCCTCCTGCTTCTCGATCTCTCTCCTCCTCCTCTCCTCCTCCTGCTCTCTCCTCCTCCTCTCCTCCTCCAGCTTCTTTCTCATCTCCCATTCTCTTTTCTGCCTCTCCTCTTTTAATTTCCACTCCTCCCGGTCCTTCCTGCGCCTCTCCTCGGCTTGCATATGTCCCTCTAGCTCCGCATCAAGCTTGTCCAAAACGTCTCCGATCGACTGAGAGACAGGGGGCGGGGCTTGTGGAGCGGAGAACCTCTGGGCTGAGGAGTTCAGCTGATGGTTCAGTTTGGTGGAGCTGGCCGGGGTGTACGAAGGAGAGCCGGGAAGTGGATTTGAACCCCGGCTTGTAATCACGCTGTCCTCTGCCCTGTGATGCCCTGAGGAGAACAAAGCCGAGGAGGAAAACTGAGGAGGAGGGTGGTCGGGTTTAGCCTGAGCGTAGTACGACATCTTCTGCTTGTGGGGCTTTATGAACTCCTGGGGTTGAGACTGGCAGCCTCCCTGCAGCAGAGCATCCACCTGAGATTTGGGGCCGGGGTCAGCGCTGGTGGAGTCGTGGGGCTTTGGCTCTTTTCCTCTCTGCCAGCTGTTATTGCTGCTGTTCACAGAGCAACCAGCAGGGGGCGACGTGGTCCCCATAGAGACACTGTTGGAGCTGCTGTAGCGGCTGACAGTGCAGGAGGGCAGGGACATTGGGGGAGTGGATGTGATGACAGGTGTCCGGGTGGAGTTGGTCAGCGGGGGAGGGGGGCTGACTTTATGCTGATGCTGGGACAAACCTGGAAGTCGACCGTCTACGACCTGATTGTGGCTCTGCTGGGGGTGAGGTAGCAGACCTGGAGGCACGAAGATGCCCGGCTCCTGAATGAAGAACATTTTTCAATCAGTCAACGTAAAAACAAATAACCAGCTGGATTTGATTACATTTGTAACGCTCGCAGAGGCTGCTCAGACTTGACATTATGAATTTGTTTCAGCTCTGACACCTCTGTGCACATTTGTTAAGTCAATTACCCACAAAGCCACGTCACACAGAGGGCTGTTAGAGCAACAAATGAAACACGCTCCCATGTAAAATGTTTTCACTATCAGGCTTCCCACAGTTTAAGACTTTTTAAGACTTTTTAATGCCAAGTGAAATCAAATTTAAGACCAATAAACACAAATGACAAAAAAAAAAAAAAAAACGGTGGCAGAAACTCGAGAATCAAAGTATTTGTGGTTGAATTATTCAAATATTAATAATAGACCAATTGTTTTTATCCATATCTAACTGCTATTTTTTCAAATATAGCAAAGAAACATTCTTAGCAGTCAGTTTTATACTTAATTTAATTCCTGGAAATCCTTTAACGACCCAAAATTTGGAGTTTCGTGACCCAAAGTGAGTTCTCAACCCTAGCTTGCTGTAGATGAAACCTTAAAGTGCATGTGACATCGAATTTTTATAAGAAATATGAATGAATATTAACTTATTAGAAATTTCCACATTTCTCAGGTGGACAGTTGTTGAGATACTTGCATGTGAAGTAATAGGAAGTGGTGTCAAAATGGAACATCTGAACGGGAATATTTAAAAAATAAATAAATCTTACCAATTATTTTAATATTTGATACGAATTAGTCATCCTACTTGCAATGTGTTAACATTTTTAAGACCTCTGAAAACTGATTTAAGACATTTTAAGGCTAATTAAGGCCTTATTTTTTGGATCAATGAATTCAAGGCCTTTTAAAACTTTTTAAGGATCTGTGGGAACCCTGAATATGCATTGAGGCTGTTTATTTCTTTATTTAGCACCATCTAACAGTCAGATAATAAAACCATTTTTAAACAACAGATCTGAACCGCCTCGTAGTGAAATGGACGGTACTCACCAGGGAGTGACTGCTTAGGCGGCTCTGGTATCTCCAGGCGTCGTGGGGACCGCTTTGTTGTTGCTGAGGTACTGAGGTGCTGCTGGCGGGAGGAAGGGGCGGGGCCGGGGGAGCACCCTGGTGTCCCAGCCCTGGATGAGGCTGGAAATGGCTGTAAGGCACGCTGCTGCTGTTTTTGTTGCTGGTTGCAGAAGCATTTGCTGGTGATGACTGACGGTCCTGATCCCCCCTGGTCGGGGTGGTCGGCGTGCGGCCGCCACCTCGGCCCCCGCTCAGAGGGCTCCTCTGGCTGTGGAGGGCAGACGGGTCCACGGCCTGACAGGACAGCGCTAGCTCCACTTTGGAGCTGGGACTCGGGTAGGAGGAGTGAGGGGAGGGGTGGGTTCGGGCCTGAGGTTGTAGCATGTTTTTGTGGAGGTGAGGAGCATATCCTTGGTTGTAGCTTTCCGGGGCAGAGTTTACCGGAGGGGAGCGATTCGAGGGGCTGGAGGAGTTTGGGGAGGACTTTGTGGTGTACCTGTCCATCCCTCGTTTATTGTTGTCCTATAAGAACATGAAAACAAATCAATATTTGGCCTAATGGTGTTTCTATAACACAGTGAGGTGATAAATGAAATATTAACTCATCATCTGAAGTAAGGTTTTTGTTGCCGTTCAGACCTGAATCTCCTGTGATTGTGTGTTTTTGCGGTCCGATGTTTGCGGCTGCCAGACAGCACCACTGTCCTTGTGAATGGGGTTCCAGAAAGCTGGTTTTGGGGGGAGTTGAAGAGCTGGTGGCGGCAGCGGTGGTGGCTGAGACAGCACCGATGATTGGTTGGAGAACCGCTGCAGTCCGGGGTGGGGTGCCTGAACAGGAAGTAGAATTAAATCAACTTGTTTTCTTACACACACACTAATCCCTTATTTGTTCAGGCTAATTTATTGAAATTGCTGGACATTGTGAAATATCAAACCTTACTTTTTATGTATAAAAACACGCTAAAACTTGTTACCTAAACATCTTCAGGAAACGTTTTATGAAAAGGGCGGTGGGTACGTCTTAAGAGGAACACTGGATTTGAAAATATGTAGTACCCGAACAACTATGAAAAGGTTTTGTATCACTGTAATTGAGGTTAAATTATGGAGTGAACTAAATATAGAACTAAAACAATGTCCAGGCATAAAGCTAGTTTAAAAATAAATATAAAACTACTTTACTTACATTGTACAGAAGAGAAGAGATTTAACATAAATGAGGTTTTGTTCCTTCCATTCTTCTGTATTAGGTTACTATTATCATTATGGATAGTGGTTATTGTTATCTTAATGTCATTATAATCATTACTTGTTGTTTTGTTTTGTTTTTCCTCGGTGGTCATTTAAGATTGTCATCGGTATTATTTTTTATTATTATTAATATGAAATCATATATTTTCTTTTTTCGTATGTTATAAGAGTGAGTTTGTAATCATTTTGTCTGTGTAGCATTTGTTTGTTGAACAGGCAAGAATACCACAACATGGTTTTAATTGCACATTTGTAAATTAGTGCATCTGTAAGTAAAACATTTCATTAAATTGAGATAAGGGGTAGGATTAAATAAGTGTTCACTTCTTCCAACTCCCTTTCAAACAGAAAAGTAGTGGTATTTGGGTTCTTGGTTATGTACGCATATGTTTTTATCTTTTTGTTCTACTGATTGCTTGTTTTTATTTTTTAATCTGTTTGAAATAAATTTTTAAGTAAAAATTAAATAAAATAAAAATCCATCATCAGAACGGAAACGACGGCCTCTGTGTTTACAGTCAACGTGAACTCGAGGCAGCAGTTTACCTGTTCTGAGCTCTTTTTCCTCTTGCTGGGGCCGGGGCAGTCCTCCAAGACGGGATGGGCGGGTATGTGCAGAGGTGGTGGAGGGGTGTGCTGAATCACTGAGTGCTCCCCCAGAGGAGGGCCTGGTCTCTTCAGTGGACCTGCTGGCATTTTTCCTGGGTAGCCTCTTTGCTGGAGACAGAAAACAAAACAAAAAATGTCTTCAGCGGCTCATTTTTCTGGTTTCAGTCTGACAAACGATGGTCTTTTTTTATCGACATGATGAAACAAGGTCGCAGCCAATTAGAGAGGCTCCTACCTGGTGCACCTGAGCCCGCATGTCATCTCCCAGCAGTGGTGGACCCCGGGGAACATGCTGCTCCTGGAGAGACCCCCCCAACAAACCACACAGTGAGAAATGTTGAATGTTTACCCCCCACTCAAAGCTAAACCAGACGTCCTCAGCTCACCTTCAGCAGAGGTCGGTTAGGATGAAGATGTGGGTTCAGGAGAGGCGCGCCCCCGCCTGCGTAGCCCCCATTATAGAGCCGCAACGAGTGCTCGTTGGGGAGGGACAACACAGGGTGGCCTTGAGGAGGGAGGTGAGGATCGTACTGCTTGTCGAGTTGATCCCATGCTCTGTGAGGAGGAGGAGGAGGGTGGAGGTGATGAGGTGGAGGCCTGCGCTGCTCCCTCTGCATCCCGGGAAACATGGCTTGTGGGAACTCCACTTTCTCCCCTCCTCGCATCGGCCTGGACAGTCAAATAGGGTTAAACATTAATATTTGTTTTGTTTTTCCTTTCTAAAGTGAGGCGACAGAAGCACAGCTTACCCATTATTTAAGTATTTACTGTGATGGTTCAGCCCACCTATAGGTCCAGGAGGTAGAGCAGGAAGAAGCTGGTGTTGGTTCATTGCAGGTGAACACCTGGCAGGAGAGGACAGGTCCAATTAGAGTCATTTTCAAATTAAAACGTCACTTTTGAGTTGAAGCGTAGATCATTATTGCGTATCGGCTGTCATGGCTACAGACCTGGCATGCGGCTGCCAGGCGCGGCCACTCACGGGAGGCCATGGCCCCCGGCCGAGTCCGTCCAGAGGGAAGGGGTCCCGTGTGCCTCGCCCGCCTAACTGCTCCACTGCGTGATGCATCCAGCCTGGGAATTATTCACACCCACCTCATTAACACACAAAACAATAAGAAATGAAGTCTCCATCTTAAAATGAACGTAATCTACAGATAAAACAATAAAAATAAATGATAGCAAGTGTGGTTAAACTGGTGTCAAATCAAAAGCATAAAGAACTACTAATCAAAAACACTTTGAAATATAATAAAAAATACCTATTAGGTTTACATGTGCAAAATTATTTAATCGAATTCAGTATTCAGATTAAATGATTCAAGTTTCAAGTTTATTTATATAGCGCCAAGTCACAACATACGTTGTCTCAGGGCACTGTACATAAAAAGAATAATCTAAAGAAGAACAATTAAATAATTCAAATGTATTGTTTACATGAGCAAAAAATGAAGGGTTTACGGTACATGCACCAGGCTTTTATAGAAGTACTGACATGCACACAGTTCGCTTTTCCTGAAAACCCACAGAAAAAGAGGTTCTGCTTAATCCGTGTTTTTATGTTTCAAAATAAAATTGCCAAACGAAAACAACTGTTTTTATGTTTTTCATGTTTTCAAAACCTAAATGTAAAAATGTGAAATCAAACTAATTAGATCTTCACAGTGTTTGATTTTAATTGTAGTTATTTCAATCCAAAATAAAAACATGTTTCTGATTTAATACGTAGCGATATCGGAAATTATGGAAGTCGCCAAAGAACAGGAAACAGACCCTAAAGATATCAGCAATGGCTGCACTTAAATCTGATCATGCTCATCTTTGAATACTGAAGCAAATTTATGTTTTACAGTAAAATAGCTCTAAAGACGCATTGACTTCTTCTAAAAAGGCTGTTTCTGAAGGGCTCAGTGAAAACGCTCCAGGAGTTCAGGCCATTAGGATTTCTAGTTCTCACAAAAAGCAACAAATGGTGAGCTAACAAACTATAAATATTGGTTTTGCTTTAACCATTAAAATGAAAAAACGTAGTCCTTTTTCAATTTTGCAGTTGTGATTTTTTCTAGTTTAGTTTTAACACAAAAAAATTAAACCACTAGATTATTTGTTTTATTTTGAAATGGAAAAACAAAAGCACCAAACCATACACAGATACTATTTCTGTGACATTAAAATAAAAAAATAAAATAAGAAAAACGCTGAAATAACTGTGTTTCTACACTTTTGACCATCAAGGTATTGGATAAATTTGAGCTCTTTCAATGTTTCTAATAGAAATATATCGCCAGCCCAACATGTTAGCATCAAACATCCAGGTGGATGAACCTGATCAGATTAAGTGTTTACATTAATGCCATTCAGATTCTCAATCGGCATAAACCTCTCCTCTCATTCTGATCGAGCTGAATCAGATCAGAATACGCAGACTACAAGTTTATTCTGATTACTTGTGATCATGTAAACACAGCCTAGTGAAAGCAAAATGCAGTCTGCAGTGTTAATCTGTAAAGTTGACTTACCAGACTAGCTGTGTGTGTGAAGCCCTCCACTGCAGCACAGAGAGGGCCTCACTCCGACACTGAGAATATCTGCACAGTCTGACTCCTCTGTCCTCTGCACCGAGAAGCTAAAAGCTGCAGAGAGAAACAGGAGAGCCTGTTTGAGAGCCAGCAAGACAGAGACTCATTGAACAGTCAACAACTGCCACTGGGCTCTCTATTATATATGCTGGTCAGAGTGGGAGTCAGCAGGGAGGGGGTGATGTCATTTAGATATACAATCCTAGTGTCTGTACGATTGCTGTTCTTCAAGAAGCTGGAGTTGAACTTCTTTGTGTCGCTCTGGCTGCGCTGCAGGTTTCAGCCAGCAGGAGGCGACAGGAAGTCAAACGGCACAGAAATGGGATTATTTCTGAGGCCCAGATGGCTCGGCGGGAGGTGGGGGGGGGGCTCACCTATGAGGACAGATCTGGTGTTACTGTAATCCTTAGTGTGGGGCTCCTGATAACAAAAGACAGAGGGGGAAAAAAACTAAGAGTGAGAGGCTTTGGTCACGTGCCAAGAGTGTGCAGCGCTGGACCAGGTCCAACTCTGCAAGCTGCAGCGTCGTGACAGGTTTGTGCAGTTTCAGTGCACGAGAGAAAGAAATGCCCCCTTTTTTTTTTAAGTGGATGATTACGTGTGTGTACTGCAGCACTCTGAAGGGTGTGTGTAAAGTGTGTGTGTGCCCAGAGCATACACTGAGGTTTAATCTCATTACAGCAGGCGTGATGGAGGGGAGGGGCAGCAACAGAAGGTCTGAGCAGGATGGAAGGATAGATTAAGGAGAGGAGATGGAATGAGGAGTGGGAGCAGTGCCATGAACCCCCCCCCCCCCACACACACACACACACACACACACACACTCGCACAAAAGAAAACAGACGTGTCTCTTCTCCCTGTTTTCTGTTACACCACATACAAAAATAATCAAGACACAAAAGCTGTAATAAAAGATCTAAAATATTGTAATGACACGTTTCAGTCCAAAATCTAATAACACAAAAAATCTGAACTTATTGCTAATATATCAAACAAATTAAACTGTTCTAAAAGAAAAATATTAACATTTATTAACAGTAAACCCTTAAGGCTTACCGATGAAACCTGGAAACGTGGCTAAACACGAAGAGCTGATCAGAGGATGAAGATCCCGACCAAGCTAGAAGATAATGTAGCATCTGCAGGTCTGCTAGCGTTACTCAACGAAGAAGTAAAAAGTATTTTGTAGACACTACTTGAATACTGATCCCAAGATCTGATTTAATATTTTAAAATATCACAATGACAAAAAAATAAAATAAAATAGGAAGTTGTGGGAAAATTCAGTTTTTTTTTAAATTAAAACACTGAAAATTAATACAAATAATTACGTAACAACAAATTCCACATTCCTCATTATGAAACTAATACACAGTACGTAATGTGTTTATATATGTAGTATCTAGTAAACGTGTTTGAGGTGAAGTTACTTACAGCTGGCAGAGTATTCAGAAATTTTACTTAACTAAATAAGAGTAGTAAAATTTCATAATGTTACTCCAGTAAAGTTAGTAAAACTACTCCTCAAAGTACATTTACTACCCACCTCTGATAAGTCAACAGTAGTAGTAATAGTGTATGACTTAGCAAATTGAGAAATACAGAACTAATGTATAAAAATTGATACGTCTCATTTCACGTGTTAAATGATGAGAAGTGAGACGAGTGTGGCAAACGGACAGATCTATCCAAGCAGCCAAAACAGAAAAACTCCTGAAAGAGTCCAAGCAGTCCTGAGAACATTTGCATGAAGTACATTTTGTGTGTAATCCAATATATTTAATAAATTACATTTTTCTTGAGATGTTTTGCTGACTTTCCTATTGAAATGGTTGCAAACAACTTGGTTCTGTTGAGGTTGTGGATGATCTGAAACATTTCCTGATGTCGACTCCTGGATGTGATTAAGTATAAATCGCCTGCTGCCTTCCACACCAGGTCAAACCTGGAGAATAACGAGGCTCAGAGCTCAACATCTTTACAACTGACTGAGTTCTAGTTTGAGCACAGGTTTACAGCAACTAAGTACATTTACTTAGTTACAGTACTTAAGTAATTTTTTTGAGGATTTGTAATTTTACCAAGAATTTTTTTAAATCGTGACTTTTACTTTTACTTAGTTACTTTTAAAACCTAAAACTTTTACTTATTTACTTTAAAGTTTAACACCTAGTTACTTGTTGTTATAAATTAAATCGGTCTGAACTCATCATGAAAGGACTTGTTTATGTGCTCTAAAAAATTAAGTGTTGAATTTACTCAACTAATCACTTCAACTATTTCCACTAAGCCAGTAGAGTAAATTTGAGGCGATATACATATTTTATTTTAAAGAAATTGACCCATTTATTCAACTTGGTTTTGTGGAGCCAGTTTGGTTCTGTAAATTTAACAGTTTGTTACTTTTACTTGTACTTTCCCAGTTTTTGTGAACGTTTTTATGACTTTTACTTGCGTAGTTTTCTCATCAGTGACATTTATTTTTACCTAAGTCATTTTCTGTTAAGGTACTTTTACTTAGTTATTTTTTTCCAAGTACTTTATAGACCTCTGAGTTTGAGTGCATCAAATGAATATTTTAAAAGTTTTATTATAATCCATCCAGTGGTTCATGAGATATTTTGCTAACAGAGACAGGCCTTTTGGTGGACGCTGATAAAACAAGCACAGTGTTGTTTATCAAATTAACACCACTTCATTAAATAACATTTTATCAGTCAGAGAGAAGCAGGCACACACACATCATGACTCACTCCTCTTCCTAAATTAGCTTCGGACACGGGCATCAGTTCCTCCCACCGGTTCATCTCTTCCTGCCTTCCTCCCACCGACTCTAAATGTCTCTATTTAAAGCCCGTTGTGGACGTGGCCACGCCTCCCTCTCTTTCTATCTCATCCACTCGGCAGGAATCAGCCTCTGCCAGGCGCTGCTGTGGAGCGCAGATACGCTGCTGTTAACAGCCAGGACGCTCACACACACTCGTGTTGCCTCACCTTTTTAGAGTAGCACCAAAGTTATCGATTCACAGTCGTCTCAAGTCTCGGCTCCAGCTGCCAATCATCCCTCCGGCGTCTCCTCAGTCCTGGAAAACAAAGCAGCTTTGTTGTTGTGTTGTCATACAGAACAACCATAAAGCTTTAAACTCCCACAATTCATTCAGAGCTAAAGGTGGTCTTCTACCCTGTGGCTTTAGAGACAACAGATCAGTAGCTGCCCCCCGGGTTTCAGAGCAGTAAGGGTCCGGGTAAAAAGGCCAGAAGGGTGAGGGGCACTTCGGTTCACCCACCTCTCACACCGACACAACAGAGGCTGACTGTGCAGCTTAACAGGTGACCAGTCACACAACGACTGAGCTAACTCTAACAGGAAGAACCAAATCAACATGAAAGAAAACATTTAAATTAGAGAAACT